CCCCCACCCCCTTTTCTAATATTGGTTTGGTCCTCTTGGTTTATGTTTCAAAGTAACGTGACTCCAGTAAATACAGTATCAGTTATTAGGTTTCCCCACACATCCTGCTGCCTATGTGAAGGCTCCTGACATTCTGGCTTCTGGCCAGACCAGTTCTCTCTTGGGAAGTGCCCAAGGCAGGATGCCAGCTGACCCTCAGTCCTATCTCCTTGTCCTCCCTTTTGAATGGGGAGTCCCAGGGTGTCTTGCTGAAAGTTCTGTAGGGCAGCTCCAGCTGAGTCTTTGTTGGGTCAAGTGGGGTTTGTGATTTTGCAGTGTTTTAGAAAAGGAAAGAGCTGTGGCATGATTCAGGATTACCAGGCTCCTTTTTCAGTAGCCAGTGGTGAGCTGCTCTGGGCTTATACTAGTCCAGGGAGCAGCCAATGGAAAGCTGGCTGTGTGGAGGGTGTAACTGTCACACTTGTCTTGAACGTTTTCTTCTGAATTGCAAGGGGGTTTTTTGGACTTACCATTTCTGACTGTTTTCCCTGTAAATAGAGTTTTGTACAATGTTGACTCTCTTGGGGGTGGGGAAGAGCGAGGCCTGAGTCTGGGACTTGATTTGTTTCATAATAACTTTGGCAAGAGAGTGTCTCCAAGCTGTGACTGTGAGCAGCACATGAAGAATAAAAGCCTGTTTTTTCACTACCCTGGCGCTGGGGCTCTTCTTCATGGCAGCTGCTGCTGACCTGGCGGGAGCAGGAGGGGAGGAGAAGGAATACAGAAATGTGCACACCCTGAGCCCCTGTGCTCCTGCAGGCCCCTCACTGCCCCCCCTGCCATGCCTGGAGCTGTTCTCCTGCTGCTTGTTCGGCCCTGGGACACATACAAAGCAGGCTGTGGAGAGAGGGAAGAGTAATTTCTTCAGCCATTCCAGAGTATGGGGGTCCTGTGTTGCCCAGTATAGCAGCTGCAGCTCTGGGTGGAGCAGCTGGCTGCCAGGAGGGCTGGGGAAAGGTGCTTGTCCCAGAGGTTTGGTAGCTGGCTGCAGAGGGTCCAGTGGGACTTCCACACAGTGGGAGTGCAGCCACACATCAAGTGCTTCCTGGTTCTGCTGGGCTGCTCCCTGCTTACTCCTGCTGCTGGGGACTGTCTGAGAGCCTGTGACATCCCAGTAAGGATGCTGTTCCTTGCTTGGGGCTTGGAGAGACAGGTGCTCCTTTGATGCCTGCGCTCCCTTTGAACAGCTTTTATGTTCTCTGGTGCATGTACTGTGTGGGATGAGGGCAAACATACCCTCCTGCCCTGTCCTTTGCACTCTCCTCTCCCCTCCTGCCTTGTCTTGATCTCGCAGGCCTGCATTGGCAGGGGCTTACAGTGCAGAGCTGCACCCTTTGGCTCTGGCTTGGCACGTCGTGGAGCCCCACCCATCCTCTGATGGCAGAGCAAAGGGCTTTGTGCTCCCTTCCCTGGCCTGAGTGGCGGTGGCTGTGTCCAGGGTGAAGGGGAGCTGAGCTTTGTGGGGTCCAGTTTCTGGCTTGCCATGGATTTAAAAGTGCTCGTCCTATGCTTCCTGGCCCTCATCCTACCCCAGGGACTGATGCTTTGGATCAGAGGCCACTTCCAGCAGAGCTCCAGTGCTCCAGTGACACTTAGTATTTGTCATGCTGGTGTCCTGAAAGTGAAAGCTGGGAAGAGGGGTGGCTTGAGATGTTCCCAAACTGGTTCCTCGGCTGTGCCTGGTGAATAACCTGCCTCCAGTAAAATGTAAAGCCTGGGAGAGACCCATTCCCAGCCATATGGAGCTGGGGGCTTGTGGGGAGCTGGCTGAACCCCCATCTCCACTGGGACAAAGGAGGTTTCTCTTTGAGGGTTCCCCCTTGGAGCTGCAGGGGACCAGGATCCTGCCATCCTGTGGGAGCAGAGATGCTGAGGCCAGGCATGGGAAGCTGTTTGCCTTGGGCTCATCCCAGCACTGATTCCCAGCCCGGAGCAGCCAGGGAGCACAAACCGCCCCCAGCACAGTGCTGCGCAGCTCCGCACTCCCTCGCCCCATCCCGGCTGCCAGGCTGATGAATACGTGGGCAGGGACTGCTATTAAATGGCTTCCTTCCTCCAGCGCCTGCAGCAGCTGCGGGCAAAATCCCTGCGGACACCTGAGTGAGGAGCTGGAGCAGCTCCTTCCCTGCTTAGAGCTCAGCATCTCGTCCCCCAGCGAGTGCTGGGAGGGAGGCGAGGGCCTTGCCCAAGGCTGGCCAGGACCTGGGGAAGCTTGGCAGGAGCACGGCAGTGGCCCTGACTCCATGCCAGGGGAATCCCAGTGTGCTCTCACAGGCAGAAGTGCATTCCTTCCCACGCGTTTCCCTGGGAGCATTGACCCATTCTTTGATAGCCGATGCTTCTTGCTGACCCTTTGGATGCTCAGCAGCTCTGAGCACAGACACAGTGACTCTTCCACGGGGCTCTTCAGGGTGATGTGGGGGAGGACAATGTCCCATGTCCCTTGTCCCCTACTCCTGGCAGGAGCTCAACTCTGAAGCATCCTGAGAGGATGACGTAGGATTGGGCCAGAGGGAGCAGAGTCCTGTTGGCCTGGAGCCAGCTGAGAATACCTCAGCCCCTCTGAGATAAGTGCTGCAGTGCAGCCCTCCCTCGGGTGCTTCCTCGGTTGCGAAGGCTGGGCATTTCCAAGCACTCCCACTTGGATTGCCCCAGACTGTACCCATGGGTGCTCAGCCCAGTATGTGCCCTGGGACCCCTGGCCGGGAAAGCCCAGCACCCTGGGGGTGCTGGTGCTGGCAGAGCAGAGCAGCTCAGATAACCCAGGGCTGTGCAGAGTGCTCAGCTGGGCACCCCAGGGGTGGTGTGGCACCTGACTGGGTTGGGTGGGCACCCTGCAGGCATGGCTCAGCACTGGGCAGCGGAGGAGGCACACACCGTAGTTAGACCAACACCCAGGGGCTCCCTGCTGCTGCAGTGACGCTCCCTGAGGAACAGGGAGGGACCCAGCAGGATGAACCAAGTACCCTGGGGCCACGCAGTTGGATGAGCTGAGCACAGCAGGGGTACCTGGCTAGGTGAACTGAGCAGCTGAGCATCCCGGGACACCCAGCTTGGGCTCGCTGAGAGCCCCCCCCCGCCCCCGGAGCCACCTGCCTGGAACAGCAAAACACTCTGAGGAACTTGTGAGGGTCAGCCAAGCACCCTGGGGACACCCAGCTGAGGCAGCAAAGCACCCCGATGAACAGGGAGGTACCCACGAGGGCTAGCCAAGCACCCTGGGGCCACCCCAGCCTGGGCTACCCGGCTACCCTGGAGACACCTCCCGCTCTCGCTCCCCAGACCTGGAGACACCCACCCGGCCTGGGGG